ATGAGCGAGGGGGAAACAGGTAGTTGTCAGCTGGGCAAACATGTTTTTGACCGCTATGGCGGAGTTTGTGTGAATGCTGTTGTTGTGTTATTTTTTGCGAATCTCCGTGCTTGTGTAGCCTACTTTGTGCACCTATCATTTGTGTGGAGGACAATAAATCGGTGATATTGCAACGAAGACGATGCCTCTGGATCTGATTTACACGCTACAACAGGTACAACATTAGCCGCCTAGCGTGTCATAACAAGCAGCTACGGTCCAATACAGCTGTCGCCAGTCCATCGCAGGGCCACACATAGACAGACAACCACTCACACCTAAGGACAATTTAGAGACACCAATTAACCTAGCCTTCATGTCTTTGGATGGTGGGAGGAAGCTGGAGCACAACAAACAACAAAAGGCCGAAAGTTGAACTTTACTCGTTTAACTAACGTTACGTGCGCGGGAGCGAGCGTGAGAGAGAGAGAGGATTATTATTATTATTATTTATTCTCCTGCACATTAGCGGAGAATAAGATGATCCAGCTGTAGCTCTGTGTCTGTCCTCTCTGCTCCACCTGAAGCTGTGAGCTGCACTTTATCAGAGGTGCTGAAATTAACGTGTGTGGATTTGTGGTGAGGTTGATCACCTGATTTTAAAATCTATGTTTTGTCGTGTGCCCCCCCCCCCCTTTCCTAATGTAAAGTTTTATTTCGCATTGCCTTCCTGGCTCTGGCTATTTCGGAGCTGGCTCATACAGGACTACTACTACGACTCCTTACTAAGTGACCTGTCAATCACCCACACACTCCACATCAGTCGCGGACAAAATGTAGACGATAGAAATGTTGAAGCTTCTTCTTGTGCTGCTGTTACTTCTAGCTGAAGGCAGCAGTGATGCTTTCTGCAGCAGGGGTGGGTACATCTAATGTAGGTCTACTCTTAATATCACTACATTTTCCATTATAACTTAACCAGTCTGTAATCTGCATTTTGCTTCATTAACCGAAATGAGCTGTGATCCAGGCTGTGTGCATGCAGGTACGCAGCAAAACCCTGGTCAGGCGCTTGTCACAGAGCTGGACAGATGCAAACATTTAGCAAATCAGGCAAATATCTTTTCAGTTATACTTTATATTCTACCAATACAACTGAAATCTAGTGAGCGCACACCACGGCACTGGTGACCCTGTTGGAAAGCAGCCTGCGTCGCTCTTTAACAACAGCGCATTCAAAGCGTCTTTAGTCTCTGCAGAGCAAATGAAACTAATCTTTCACTCAGCAGGTACCAGCTGTTGTTTATTTTTGAGATGCAGAGAGAGAGAGAGAGAGAGAATATATGGTGGATAAAACAGTCCTGTTGGGTTTTAATCTCGAGGCACAGCTTCCTCTGTATGTAGGTTTACCTGCTTCAACAACGAGCTGCTCTCGTTTTACTGCCACAATAATTCTTTGCATTGTGAAGATTATGTAGATGCTTCAGGAATGATCAAATTGTATTGGCAGCCTGTGCTACTGCAAAGCAAGCGGTTTGATTGGCTGCATCAACAGTTGGCTGGGCAGCAAAAGTGATATTTTAAAGTGATCTTATCAGCACCTTCATGGAGATTTAAAAAGGAAAATAATTGTAGAAATAGCTAAATTACAAATAATCAGCTTCTTCACTGCATTTGCAGGAATATTTTAATGGGCTACTTAAGAAAATAAACTCATCAAGTTGCCTAGTCTAATGCAACAGAGTCCATTTTTACTCTGATAGCCTATCTTGACCTTTCCTCATGTGGACACATAAGGGCTGTGATCCTGCACAACAAAACATGCAAGAATTAAATCACCACACTACCATGGATAGTAGTGGTGCAACGGGTTGCAGCACGCAGGTGGACCGCGGATTGATTGCAAAGTTTATGATTTATCCTGTTTGTCTTCAAAATATCCTTTATTCTGGAAATGTCAGAGAACACAGTTAGATTCTGAATGTGCAGAACTTTGAACATGAGCAGAAAACTTGCTGAAACACAAGAGCTGTTAAAGTCAAGGAGTTTCTAACTGAATTAAAATGATTTAATTTATTATTGAAGAGGTAAAAAGGTGCCACATGCATTTAAAGAGGTTACCTCAATCAGTCACGTCTGTGTGTTGATTCAGCAGTGATGATATTAAAAGTTGATCTACAGGAGAAACATATCTGAAAGCTGAGAGCTGCTCTGCATTATATTCTGTGACAGTTTTAGATTTTAAATTGTTTTATTAAACCTTTATTAAACCAAAAAACTATTTTTCCAAGAGTGTCCTGACCAAGCCAGGCAGTAGTACAATTGCACATTTAAGATGGAAATAAATAATCAGTTACAAGGTCATAAAATATCAAAATGTTCTTAAATATTCGCCACAATTCAGCAACACCTGAATTGTGGCGAACAATTGTGAATCTGTTGCTCAGTACACCAGTAGTTTCTTTCTTTTTCAGGACATTCCAAATTGTTGTGCTTGCTATGCCCAATGTTTGTCCAATGACTCTGGTCGATTTTCCTTCTTTTCTCAGCTTGACAATGGCTTGCTTTCTCCCATAAACAGCTCTCTGGTCTTCATGTTGGTTTATCCTCTTTAACAGGAAATGCAGTCTTTATAGGTTTGAACCAATCAACCTAAAAGGCAACACCTGGGCAACAAGAAACATCTTTTTACATGGACATTCCTCCCACTGGCAGTTCAAAACCAGAATATCTCATAGAACTCCAATGCTCACGTTTCTCACTGAACAAGAGAAAGTAGGAGTGGTAGCTCTGTAAGAGGGAATGAAAGAGAAGAGGAGCCATTACCGATGTTCATTTGTTATGATGTGTTGAGTGTTTATTATAAAATTGGTTAAGACTACACTTAACCACTTCAAGGTACACTTTTTATTTATTTATTTCTAAAAATTAGGCACTTTATTTTAGTTTACTTAAATTTAGAATTTATTATTAGAGTAGTTATTATTTATTATCCAGTTTGATGTGAAAACTGACTGAAATATTATTTGATTTGACAGTCCGTTGTTGACTAAAAACACATGTTGATACAACTATACATTATGGTACTGAATGATAACACAAGTTATTCGTTCTGATGTTCCGGACCTTTGCTTCAGGAAATTTTCTCTAACTGGACCTCTTTGAATTCTAATTGAATACCCCTGCTCTACACCAATGACTGCACCTCAGGAGACCCATCTGTCAAACTCCTGAAGTTCACTGACGACACAACGGTCATCGGCCTCATTCGGGACGGTGATGAGTCGACCTAGACGGGAGGCTGATCAGGTGGCTCTCTGGTGCGGTCTGAACAACCTGGAGCTTAACACGCTCAAAACTGTGAAGATGATCGTGGACTTCAGGAGGAGCCCCCCCACTCTGCCCCACTTCATACTCAACAGCCCTGTGTCTGCTGAGGACCTGAAGTGGGAGCCCAACACTGACACCATCATCAAGAAGGCCCAGCAGAGGATGTACTTCCTGCGCCAGCTCAGGAAGCTCAACCTGCCTAAGGAGCTGCTGATCCACTTCTACACAGCCATCATCCAGTCTGTCCTCTTCATGTACCTCACTGTCTGGTTTGGATCTGCCACAAAAAGGACAGGAGCAGACTACAACGGACAGCCAAGACTGCAGAAAAAATCATTGGTGCCAACCTGCCCTCCATTCAGGACTTATACATTTCCAGTGTCAGGAAACGGGCAGGAAACATCACTGCAGATCCATCTCACCCCGGACACAATCTGTTCCAGCTTCTCCCCTCTGGTAGGCGCTACAGAGCACTGTACGCCAAAACCAACAGACTCAGGAACAGTTTCTTCCCACAAGCCATCACTCTGATGAACAGCTGATTTCTGACAGGTCACAGTGTCAGGAACAATTCCTGTGCAATAACCCAGTAACTCTGTTTACTGGTTTCCACTTATTATTTATTTATTCACCATTCTCTATTTCAGTGCTGTTCATTCTGTTATATTGTCATATTGTATATACTGTATACCAAATCCACCTACCTCAAGTAAATAACACCTAGACATAATACTTATTTATTCCAGCATTCTGACATGTACATAATAACAATAATAATAATAATATGTAATACAATTTACTCCTGCATCCTTTATCTCAATCTGTCTATATTTTTTTGTTTTGGTTTATAGTGTGTATATATTGTGTTCTCTATACTGTGGCCTGTGTCTGATTTTATATTATTTGTTTTTATCTTATTTTATTATTGTATTATTGTATGAGTAAGCACGTGAGCAATGTACAATCCTGAGTCAAATTCCTCGTATGTGTACACATAGCTAGCAAATAAAACAGATTCTGATTCTGACATGTTGGTTTTCCAATCCGCATGAAATCATAGAAGAAAAATAAAGTCCGAAGTTCAAATCATTCAATTGAATCAGTTGAAAGCGGATTGATAATCCTCAAGTAACGTAAAGATACCTTTAATTTGTACTTAAGTACAGTACTGGAGTAAATATTCATACTAATTGTCCACCACTACTGACATTTTAATAAAATGTCATCAGTTCAGAGCGGAACGAAAAGCTCTCGCACTTCGACTGTCGGAACTTATCAGTGTGACATCCAGCGGAAGTAAACAAACCGCGGCCGCTTCGGTCGCGTTTGAATTCGCTAGAAGGCTTTATTGTAGTCGTAGCACCTCTAATTGTTTCATTTGTAAATAAATAACAATGTCTTCAGTTGAGTGTTTGAGAGAGTTTGTCAACGAGCGACTAACTGCTGCTGCTGAAGAAATATTCGGAGTTTTTATAAAAACTGTCGTCGAGTACGAAGAAGAGATCGATCGTCAGCGCAGACTGCTGGATATCGTTTGGAAACCCGAAGTAAAGTTACACAGGATAGGTGTGTAAAACTTCATTGTTTAGTAACACAAAACAGGGATTTAAATAATAAATATATACTGGTACTGCATCTTGTTCTTTCCCATCCCAGTAGTAGCCTGTTCCTTCTGTTCTCTGTCCCTCCAGAGCTCCCACAGCAACATGTCTGGAAGGAGGAGGAGGTTCTGGCTGACCAGCAGCTCTTTATTCAGGAGAGGAACTCCAGTCTGGACCAAGAGGACCCAGAGCCTCCACAGATTAAAGAGGAACAGGAGGAACTCTGTACCAGTCAGGAGGGAGAGCAGCTTGTACTGAAGCAGGAGACTGATACCTTTATGTTGACTCCTACTTATGAGGAAAGAGACCACAGTGAAGCAGAACTGAAAAGTGACCACCAGCTCCTCTCTCACAGCTGTCATGTAGCTGAGAGCCAAGATCAGAAAGGAGGCGAGCATGAAGACTCAGGATCAACTAGAGATGCAGAGCCAGAACAAAAGAATCAAGATCACAAAAGCAGAAGCCACAGAAACAATGTAAACAAGTCTACCATGTCAGAGGTTCACCATAATCCTCACACAGGTAAAAACTCTTTCAAATGTGACACTTGTGGAAAATACTTTAAGTATAAGTCACTATTGCAGAAACACCTGAGAATTCACTCGCATGAGAAGCCATATTCTTGTGGGAGCTGTGGCAAAAGGTTCAGATACACATCAGATTTGAACATTCATATAAGAATCCACACAGGTGAGAAACCATATTCTTGCAAAACATGTGGGAAAGGCTTCAGAACTAGCAGTCACTTGAAAGACCACATAAGAATCCACACAGGTGAGAAGCCATATTCTTGCAAAACATGTGGAAAAGATTTCATAGGGAATGCTAAGTTGAAAATTCACATAAGAAGAGCTCACACAGGTGAAAGGCCGTACCTTTGCAAGATTTGCGGTAAAAGATTTGTTGTTGCTTCAGCATTGAAAGCACACATAAGAACCCACACAGGTGAGAAGCCATACGTTTGCAAGACCTGTGGAAAAAGATTCTGTAACATGTCAGCATTGACAAGACACGTAAGAATTCACACAGGGGAGAAACCGTATAAATGTGAAACATGTGGAAAAGATTTCAGAACTAGTGGTCCGTTAAAAGTCCACATGAAAACCCACACTGGTGAGAAGCCGTAGCCTCATACGATCTAGGGGAAAAGATATGCTTTTGCGTCTAATTTGGCACTGCATAGAAGCTCGCATACTGGCAAGTAGCAATGAAACAGTGAAAATTTTTGGACACAATTATAGTGTCCAAAATTATCACAGTATTGATAAAATGTGCTGAAAATTATCAAAATGTACTGATACACAATAAAATTTGCATAAACAGTAAGGATAATAACAACCAATACTTTATGTAGACATGAATATATATTATTATATAAGTAAATGCAGTGAACCCATGCACTATTACATGAATACACAGGCACATGCACACATAGACAAAAGGGGCTCAAGCACCAGCCTTGTGTCTTCCTGGAGAGAAAGTGCCCTTTTTCTGGGGTGCTTAGAGGTCACAGTACAAGAAAATATGGAAGCAAAATAGATAAAATCTCAAAATTGAAGACTACGTGAACAATGTCCTGCCTAAAAGAGTAAATTTATATTTCTGATCTCAATTGTCAAACTAAGTCCTTGACAACATCAGTTAGTGTGTGTGCGCGTGCTCTGAGTGCAATAATAATAATGTATTTGATCAATACATCTATGTATTCAGACAATTCAGTGTTCTGTTGATTGGCTGTGTAAAGCGGAAGATAATTTACTCATTTAGCAATTTTTTTTATTTTGAAGTGTTATGTATTCCAATTAGAACAAAAGAATCTAAAGGATTTATTGCCTTGTGAAAAATTAACAAATTATTAGTGAAACTATGTCCCCCTCCTTGGTGCAGCCATTTATTCTAAATATATACTTGTAGCATAGAAAACATGCACATTGTGGCATACTTTACTTTGCTGTCGCCTGCTCCTGTGATTAACCTATTAAATACTAAAGAAACCATGGTCTCTCCGTGAACTGATTATTTAGTAGAACAATGTTGAGTATTAAACAATTGCATGAGTGTAAGGAAATTAAAATAAATTGGCAAGGAAGTCAGAGTTGTGTAAATATATTTAATGTTTTGTTTACAAAAAAAGGCCCTTTTTTTCACTTGACCTCTGTGAATACAAATGAGTCTTAAGGACACAGTAATAGTAATTACAATGAGGCCAACAACTGACATAAATGCAGAATAGTCTTGTACAGGAGTCTGCAGAGTTTCTCCTGTTGGAACTAATTTGACGAGAGGGTGTTGATGGTGCAGTGGATGAGACACATGCCTTTAGTGTGAGAGACCTGGGTTCAATCCCCCACTGTCACACATCCACCATTGTGTCCCTGAGCAAGACACTTATCCCCTAGTTGCTCCAGAGGCGTGCGACTTCTGACATATCTAGCAATTGTAAGTCGCTTTGGATAAAAGCGTCAGCTAAATGAATAAATGTAATGCAAATGCTGGATTTTAAACACACAGAGAGATTGCTGTCTTTATTAGAGAGATATCGTAGAGGTTTCCCCAGATCATATTAGGGTCATTTGCTGAGCTACAGTAAGCCAAAGGTGACGACATGTGATTCTCTAAAACAATAGGTCAGACCCTGTCTCTGCTCTGTCTGTTCGGTTGACTGTCTGACGCAGCTGCCTTGATTAAGATGAACTCTGTGATCCTTTCTTTAGGTAACCCCGGGTCCAGATGATCTTTATTTTGTTTCTTTACAGACAGACTGACTGGCTGTCTTTTGGAAGTGTTGCAAGTGACTTGAGTGACAGACAACATGATTTAGGTCAGCTGACTTCTAGGTTTGTTTTTCTGTGTTCTTTTTATTTCTGCTGTTTATGGATCCTGTGTTTTGTGTATATAAATACTGACGCAAAAGTATTGCGAGGTAATGCCAAAGTATTGCGAGGGAATGCCAAAGTATGGAATGCCAAAGTATTGCGAGGGAATGCAAAAGTATTGCGAGGGGATGAAAAACATATTGCGAGGTAATGCGAGCAAACGCTAAGTAGTCCTCAAAAAAATATCCCTTACTGAGCCCTCGGAGCCACCGTAGTTTTGCACATGCATTTATAAGAGAAGTATTCTGTGCTTTTACAAAAACAAAACTTTAAATAACGCAACTCTCCTGCCGAGTGGATTCTTCACTGGCAGTAGCTGCCGGAGTTTCTTTCAGGCTAAGTTTCACGTTTCTTAGCAGATGCTTTAATACAAAATTTTTAGCGGTTGAAACTTTCTGGTCTCACAACGTTTACGGAAGACAATGTTCTTGCATCTCTGAGTGTGACACAGTTAAGTTAGGCCTAATGACAGTACTTACAGCTGTGGAAAGAACGCCTCCTTTGTTCTTCCTTTAGCTTTTTGGCTAGCAGCTGACTTGAACAACGTTACGTCTGGTGCTTTATTGCCAAGTAGTGTTTTACACTTACAAGGACTTTGCTTTGGGGATAAGGTGCTACACGCAGACATACAGCTGACATAAATAGATGTAGAAATATATAATTATGTAATAAAAAAAAAATGCAAGTTATATAAGAATAACAGAATAGAAAAATTATACTACTGACAATATAAAACAATTAAAATAGTAATAATAATAAAAATAACAATGGAACAACAACGATTTACAATTAACAACAGATTAACAACCAATATGTGCAATGTGCCAGGTTCGTGCATGATATGACATGAAGTGATATTTACATGTGCAGAGACATTTGTATCATTTGCAAGGGGGGAGTGTCAGTGGGGGACCCGGGCCTTGTTGATGAGGCTAGCTGCAGACAGGAAGAAACTGTTTTTGTGGCGAGAGGTTTTGGTCCTGATGGACCGCAGCCTCCTGCCAGAGGGGAAAGTCTGAAACAGTTTGTGACCGGGATGGGAGGCGTCAGCTGCAATCTTTCCTGCTCGCCTCAGAGTCCTGGAGGCGTACAGGTCCAGAAGAGAAGGAAGATTGCAGCCAATCACCTTCTCTGCAGAGCAGCCTGCCCTTGTCCCTGGCAGTGGCAGCAGCGTACCAGATGGTGATGGAGGAGGTGAGGATGGACTCAATGATGGCGGTGTAGAAGTGCACCATAATTGTCTTTGGCAGCTTTAACTTCTTCAGCCCCTGCAGGAAGTACATCCTCTGCTGGGCCTTCTTGGTGAGGGAGGTGATGTTCAGCTCCCACTGGGAGATGATGGTGCCCAGGAAGCGGAAGGAGTCCACAGTGGTGACTGGGGAATCACACAGGATGATGGGGGAGGGTGGGGCTGTGCTCTTTCTGAAGTCCACGACCATCTCCACTGTCTTCAGAGCACTGAGCTCCAGACTGTTCTGGCTGCACCAGGTCACAAGATGGTCGAACTCCCACCTGTAGGCGGACTCATCCCCACCTGAGATGAGCCCAATGAGGGTGGTGTCGACCGTAAACTTCAAGAGTTTGACAGACTGGTGACTGGAGGTGCAGCTGTTGGTATACAGGGAGAAGAGCAGAGGGGAAAGAACGCAGCCTTGAGGGGAACTGGTGGTCCTGGAGTCAGAGACATGTTTTCCCATCTTCACATGCTGCTTCCTGTCTGTCAGGAAGTCTGTGGTCCACCTGCAGGTGGACTCAGGCACGTTCAGCTGGGAGAGCTTGTCCTGCAGCAGGGCCGGGATGATGGTGTTGAAAGCAGAGCTGAAATCCACAAACAGGATCCTGGCGTAGGTTCTTGGGGAGTCCAGGTGCTGGAGGATGAAGTGAAGGGCCACGTTTACTGCATCATCTACAGACCTGTTGGCTGTGTGGGCAAACTGCAGGGGGTCCAGGAGAGGGTTTGTGATGGATTTAAGGTGGGACAACACAAGGCGCTCAAAAGACTTCATTACCACAGAGGTCAGGGCGACGGGTCTGTAGTCGTTTAGTCCCGTGGTCCTTGGTTTTTGGGGGACAGGGATGATGGTGGAGGCTTTGAAGCAGGCTGGCACATGGCATGTCTCCAGTGAGGTGTTAAAAATGTCTGTGAACACCGGAGACAGCTGATCAGCACAGTGCTTCGGGGTGGATGGGGAGACAGAGTATGGCCCAGCTGCTTTGCGGGGTTTCTGCCTCTTGAACAGTCTGTTGACGTCCCTCTCTAGGATGGTAAGAGAGGGGAGTGTGCGACGGGGTGTCACAGGGTTTTGACGTAATGTCAACTCATGGGAGGCAATGTTGCTACCGCCACCTGCTGGTGTCGCTAGTAAACTGCTCTCAAACTTACAGATCTCAGTGGTACACATTAGGTGCTTGCTGAGCAAGGATACACAAGGGGATTCTTCGGCAGAAATCTTATACAGACCGACACGGCCTCTTATTGGAAAGGCGTAATATTCCTTGGACTTTGCAGCTGATTGGACTGATCTGATGCATCATGACGATAACACATTAAACTCAAGTGTATCACTGCAAAGTTTTATAATTGATTTGTTTTATGATTTAACGTCTAGTTAAAATCTCTAAGTTTATTGTAAGTCTGAACAACAA